GAGAGTTCCAGAGGGAATTCGGAGATGACGGGGCCATAAGCTGAGAGGGAAGAGCAATGCAGGAGGGGTCAGGTTAGGACGAAAGGGACGAAGGGACAGAAAGAGAAGGAAGAGCGAATGGGGAGTTTCAACTAGCACATGCACATCATCACACAAACCTGATAGCAGCACGGCGAGCAGTTTCAGATTCTTTACAAGTTTATACCACTCCACGATACCACTGCACGATACCAGTCCACGATACCACTGCATGATACCACTGCATGATACCACTGCATGATACCACTGCATGATACCACTGGCACAAAGCTACACACTTATTTTAAGGCGCCTCAAAAACATACCACTGCATGATGCTGCTGGCACAATGCTATACTGTCACACTCGTTGCAGTCACACGCAACCACATTCCCACCTTCGCACCCACACACAGGTGAGTATACATGTTACACCCATTGTCAACACATATTGAGATGCTTTACATCCATCCCCCTCCTCTCAACACACACCCACCACCAGCCTCACCTGCACATTGTCATACAACTCAAGCAGCGGCACCGCCAGCAGCTTGAGATTCTTGGGAACTCCAAAGTACTGCCTCTCGGTGAGGGGAACCACAAACAGCTTCTTCATCTCCTGTTGAAGGGAGAGGAGTGGAGAGGAGTGATGAGGAGTGAAACAAGGAGTGATGACAAGTGAAGAGGAGTGAAGAGGCACATGACACAGGGCATGGCACTTGGAAGATGGCACATGGGGCATGGCACATGGGGCAAGGCACATGGGGCATGGCACATGGGGCAAGGCACATGGGGCATGGCACATGGGGCATGGCACATGGGGCATAGCACATGGGGCATGGCACTAACCTTGCCATGCCACGCACATCAACCTACTTTGGGTTTGGTGATGTGCGGATGGCAGTAGGGATACACGAGGGTCTCAGAGTTACTTTGTGGCGCCTCAAATACCATTCTTCAACAAAATAATGTACTGTGTTTCAATTCAACCAACCTTGGCACGCCATTGACCAACCTTGGGTTTGGTGATGTGCGGATGCCAGTAGGGATACATGAGGGTCTCAAAGTTGCTTTAGAGGCGCCTCTGAAACACTGTCCCTCAAATAATAGTGTGCTTTGATCAACCTTTGATCGCCATGCAACATCCTACCTTGGGTTTGGTGATGTGCGGCGGGCAGTAGGGATACATGAGGGTCTCAAAGTTGGGTCGCCACCACACTGCAGAGCACTCCCCCACCTGGCAGGGCGACAGTGTTGGGGGGGGGGGGAGGGGAGGGGGGGAACAAAGGAGGAGCAGAAGGATGCTGGGCATAACGGGAGGGAGGGTCGTACATGAAGGTCCCAAAGTTGGGCCGCCCTGCAGAGCACTCCCCCACCTTGCAGGGCGAGTAGAGGGTAGTGGGGAGGGTAGACGCTAGGTATATGAGTCACCACTACATCACACCACAGCACACCACACTGCACCGAACTGCGCTGCAGGGGGGGAAGCAGTATGGGGTGGGAGAGGGCAGTAGGGATACATGAGGGTCTCAAAGTTGAATCGCCACCACACTGCAGAGCACTCCCCCACCTGGCAAGGCGACAGTGTTGGGGGGGGAGTGGGGGAGGGGGGAAACGAAGGAGGAGCAGAAGGATGCTGGGCACTACGGGAGGCAGGGTCGTGTCGTACGTGAATGTTTCACCATTGGGTCGCCACCACACTGCAGAGAACTCGTCCACCTGACAAGATTCAGGGTTTAGGGTTTAGGGTTTAAAAATAGTACGGGGCGAGCGGTGAGGGGAGTGGGCAGAGAGCAGGGCTTTAAGGGAGGGTAGCACATGAGTGTTGAAGCGCAAGCAAGCACACAGCAGAACAAACGCCCGCCAGGCAGGGAGGGAGATATTGGGGGAACAAGGGAGCATGGGAGGAGAAGCAGAGAGGCAGGAGGGGAGACGGGCAGGAGGGCAAGAGGGCAGGAGGGGAACATGAGAGAGAAAGCACACACAGCACGCCCATCCTCCCACGCCCATCCTCCCACGCCCATCCTCCCACGCCCATCCTCCCACGCCCATCCTCCCACGCCCATCCTCCCACGCCTACATTCCCAACCTACTTTCTGCTACTTTTCAATCCAACCCTGTGCACTACCGTACAATCCAACCCTGTGCACTACCGTACTTTCCAACCCTGTGCACTACCGTACTTTCCAACCCTGTGCACTACCGTACTTTCCAACCCTGTTAACTACCCTACTTTCCAACCCTGTTAACTACCCTAACTTTTCAACCCTGTTAACTACCCTAACTTTCCAACCCTGTTAACTACCCTAACTTTTCAACCCTGTTAACTAACCTAACTTTCCAACCCTGTTAACTACCCTAACTTTCCAACCCTGTTAACTACCCTAACTTTCCAACCCTGTTAACTACCCTAGCTTTCCAACCCTGTTAACTACCCTAACTTTCCAACCCTGTTAACTACCCTAACTTTCCAACCCTGTTAACTACCCTAAACTTTCCAACCCTGTTAACTACCCTAACTTTCCAACCCTGTTAACTACCCTAACTTTCCAACCCTGTTAACTACCCTAACTTTCCAACCCTGTTAACTACCCTACTTTTCGACCCTGTTACCCGACCCTACTTTCTGAACCTACTTCCCAAACCTACTCTCTGACCCTACCTCCCTTCCGAACCTGCCTCCCGTCTGTACTTTCCAACCCCCTAACTTCCATCGATGCCTCTTTCACCCCCTAGACCCTGCCATCCCCCTCTTGAACCTAATCCTGAAACCCCTCGTTGCCTGCCTTACCTGCCGGTCAGGTACGGGCAGACGGGACACCGAGTGAGCCCCTCACCTAACCTTCCCATCCATACCAATCATCCTGACCTGCGGTCAGGTACGGGCAGATGGGACACCGACAGCCCAGCAGCGTCTAGTACCCCTACCCGCCACCTCCTTTACCTTCCGACCCTACTCCGAACCTGTCTTCTGAGCCTAACCCCCAGAGCTCCGCACCTGCCAGTCAGGCACGGGCAGAATGGACACGGACGGACCCAGCTTGCTGGTGAGCTTGCGCTTTAGGCCCTCCACCTCTGGGGGGATGGGATGGGAGTGCGTATGGGGGAATGGGATGGGGGTGCGTATGGGGGAATGGGATGGGGGTGCGTATGGGGGAATGGGATGGGAATGCGTATGGGGGAAGGGGATGGGAATGCGTATGGGGGAAGGGGATGGGAATGCGTATGGGGGAAGGGGATGGGAATGCGTATGGGGGAAGGGGATGGGAGTGCGTATGGGGGAATGGGATGGGAATGCGTATGGGGGAAGGGGATGGGAATGCGTATGGGGGAAGGGGATGGGAATGCGTATGGGGGAAGGGGATGGGAATGCGTATGGGGGAAGGGGATGGGAATGCGTATGGGGGAAGGGGATGGGAATGCGTATGGGGGAAGGGGATGGGAGTGCGTATGGGGGAAGGGGATGGGAATGCGTATGGGGGAAGGGGATGGGAATGCGTATGGGGGAAGGGGATGGGAATGCGTATGGGGGAAGGGGATGGGAATGCGTATGGGGGAAGGGGATGGGAGTGCGTATGGGTATGAGCAAATAAAGCATATGGCTCGCATCGCATACAACCAACCAACCACAAGCCCAGCTTGCTGGTGAGCTTGTGCTTTAAGCCCTAAACCTCTGGGGGAGGGAAGACATGAGGGGATGGGTATGAATGGGGATGGGCATGAGTGACAGCATCACGCACGGCTCCCATACCACCCGCCAACCAGCAACCAGCAATTAGGAACAAACCAACCACGGACCCAGCCTGCTGGTGAGCTTGCGCCTTAGCCCCTCCACCTCTGGGAGGAAGCGTATCAGAGGGTGTGGGGTGTCGTGGAATGTGCATGAATGAATGCATGAAGCACATGTACCATGGCTCCTGCACATGTACCATGGCTCCTGCACATGTACCATGGCTCCTGCACATGTACCATGGCTCCTGCACATGTACCATGGCTCCTGCACATGTACCATGGCTCCTGCACATGTACCATGGCTCCTGCACATGTACCATGGCTCCTGCACATGTACCATGGCTCCTGCACATGTACCATGGCTCCTGCACATGTACCATGGCTCCTGCACATGTACCATGGCTCCTGCACATGTACCATGGCTCCTGCACATGTACCATGGCTCCTGCACATGTACCATGGCTCCTGCACATGTACTATGGCTCCTGCACATGTACCATGGCTCCTGCACATGTACCATGGCTCCTCCTGCACATGTACCATGGCTCCTGCACATGTACCATGGCTCCTGCACATGTACCATGGCTCCTGCACATGTACCATGGCTCCTGCACATGTACCATGGCTCCTGCACATGTACCATGGCTCCTGCACATGTACCATGGCTCCTCCTGCACATGTACCATGGCTCCTCCTGCACATGTACCATGGCTCCTCCTGCACATACACGAGGTGCCTTTTGAGCCAACTCAAAAGTCATCTCCTGCACATGCACACGGCTTCGTTTTCAGAGGTTTTACCATGGTCCATCAAAGGAGGAGAGGCCTGATCTGATCACGTACCATCCTCCCCCGGTTTCAGCCTGCCCCCAGGAAGCTTGAAGAAAGAGTTTCCAATCTGCAGCAGCAGAATGTGCGGGTGGTTGTGGTGATGCACTAGAATGATCCCCTCCACACTCGTCCTCATGCCCTCCTTCTGGTAACTGGCGCAGGGGGGGGGAGGGGCGAGGGAGGGAGGGCGAGGGAGGGAGGGGGGGCAAAGAAGTGAGTGCAAGGGGTACAAGGGGGATAGCAGCAGCAGAATGTGCGGGTGGTTGTGGTGAGGTGATGCACTGGAATGATCCCCTCCACCCACACTCGTCCTCCTTCTGGTAACTGGAGCAGGGGGGGGACGGGCAAGGGCGGGAAACATGGTGGTGGTGGTGGTGGTGGTGGTAGAGAGTCAGAATGATGCCCTCAAAAGTGGGTCCTGATGGGAGTGTGTGCAGGTGTTGTGGGTGCTGTGCGGGGCAGATCCAATCCAAATCCATGCGCCTCAGCATTTTCTGCAACTTTTGAGGCACCTAAAACGTCGACTTATGGGAGGGAGCATGTGCAGATCTTTACATGAACACCTAACCAACCCAACCCGAGCCCGACGGCGGTTATGCAGGAAAGAGTCTGATTCATTCGTGCGCCTCACCTCACACCGTCTGATTCATTCGTGCGCCTCACACCGTCTGATTCATTCGCGCGCCTCACACCGTCTGATTCATTCGCGCGCCTCACACCGTCTGATTCATTCGCGCGCCTCACACCGTCTGATTCATTCGCGCACCTCACACCGTCTGATTCATTCGCGCGCCTCACACCGCCTGATTCATTCGTGCGCCTCACACCGTCTGATTCATTCGCGCGCCTCACACCGTCTGGTTCATTCGCGCGCCTCACACCGTCTGATTCATTCGCGCGCCTCACACCGTCTGATTCATTCGTGCGCCTCACACCGTCTGATTCATTCGCGCGCCTCACACCGCCTGATTCATTCGTGCGCCTCACACCGTCTGATTCATTCGCGCGCCTCACACCGCCTGATTCATTCGTGCGCCTCACACCGTCTGATTCATTCGCGCGCCTCACACCGTCTGATTCATTCGTGCGCCTCACCTCACACCGTCTGATTCATTCGCGCGCCTCACCTCACACCGTCTGATTCATTCGTGCGCCTCACCTCACACCGTCTGATTCATTCGTGCGCCTCACCTCACACCGTCTGATTCATTCGTGCGCCTCACCTCACACCGTCTGATTCATTCGTGCGCCTCACCTCACACCGTCTGATTCATTCGCGCGCCTCACCTCACACCGTCTGCAACTGTCGTCCCCAACCACTTCCCTTCCCGTCCTTCCTTCTTCCACTCACTTGTAATTTATCTTTCCACAGACGTCAATCGGTGATTTATCACCCCCTCCCTCACCCCCTCCCTCACCCCTCCGCGCCAGTCGGTCCGCCACAAACGTTCTTCAACCACCCCCCCTACCGAGCTTTTCTTCTCTCTGATTCCCTCCTTTCCCCATTCCCTCCTTTCCCCATTCCCTCCTTTCCCCATTCCCCACTCACCATTCCCCCACTAATTTCCTCATCTTCTCCACCCCGCGTACTCCCCAATTCCCCCCAGATTCCATTCCCCCCATTCCCCCACTCACCCGTCCCCCGTTTTCTCCCTCCTTTCCTTCCCCCCTCCCTCCCTCCCCCTCGCCTTCACTTGTGTTTCATCTGCGCAAGTTGGTCCGTCACAGACGCGTCCTTCCCCTCCCCGTCTTCCCTACTCTCTCGTTTTCCCTTCCCCCAGCCCGCTTCCCCCCTCATTCTTTCCCCCCCCATTCCCCCTTTCTCCCCACCTTCCTCCCCCCTCCCCCATCCCCCCTCCCTCCCCCCCTCCCTCTCCCTAACTTGCGCTTCATCCGCGCCAGTCGATCCGCCACGGGCGTGTCCTTATCGACCTCACGTGTCCTTCCCCTCCTCGTCTTCCCTGCCCTCAACTCATCCCGCCTCCTTCCCCAATTCCTTCCACCACACACCCCCTTCCCCCGCCCGCCCCCGCCATCACTCACTTGTGTTTCATCCGTGCCAGTCGGTCCGCTACGGACGTGTCTTTTTCGATCTTAGGCTCCTTCACGCCAAACGAATAGTTCTCTAACGGGTATATGTTCACCACCGGCCCGCCCACCATGCTGCCGAAACTTTCGCTGCGACCTAGCGAAGGTCTCTATAGCGAGGAACTTATAGCGCAGAGGTCCATCAGAAAAAATGTCGAACTGCTGGAAACCGGTGCTACGATCACTCAGCCTATTTTTAGGGTTGAAACTAGGGCTTTAGGGCGTGTTCTGTAACATGAAATTACATTCATTCCTTGCGTCTGTTACCCGGTTACAGGTTTGTAGCTTTGGTTAAATACGTATAATTGGAGATTCAGTTTGCGGTTCAAAAATTTCTGACACATTCGGGACCTGTCAGGGTTCGTGTGGCACACGTGCTTTTCACGAGTTCAAAGCTCCGCAGACGGATTTCGTGTTTCGTGTTTCAATCACTGCGCCTTGCGCTAATGCACCACACTATACCGTTTTACAGATCTCTTTAGTCTTAAAATTCCATCTCTTCTTTCTCTCAATCCAATCCCCCTTCGCTCCAACCAAATCCGCCAGGAGCCCTCACGTCACCCAACCCAAGCCAAACCAACCCAACCAGCTCAACCCAGCCCAAACCAAACCAACCAGCTCAAGCCAGCCCAAACCAGCCCAAACCACCACAAGATAACCAGCCAAGCTCAACCCAGCCTAACCCATCCCAACCATCCCAAACCAACCACCCCCTCTCCATCCACCTGCCGTCCCTCGATAGTAGTGCGGCTGCCTCTCGGTAGTGTGAATGCCTTGCATGCCACATGGCATGCCAAGCCCACATGTTGCTCGCGGAGCCGTCGCGAGCATTCCATTCGTTCATAGTTTTTTTTGTCGTATCACTCTCACTTACGTTTAGCGCACGCGCATCGCAATCTTTACGAACAGCAGTGACTGACTCAGTATGTTGTGTGGACGGCTGTCGGCGCGATATCGCATAGCATGTGCTGTGGGTGACTTCCGACGTGGAAACTGCCACGTCAAACACTTATTGGGCGGATGCCTGCCGAGCACTCACCAGGACAACTCACTGTCATCTTTCCAAGATAAGTTATCTTGAAAACTCACTCGTATCGCCTCTATTCATTCCCTTGCCTCGCTGGGAACCCATTTCAAGTTTCACTCTGACCTAGGTAGTCTTAAGTTCTCGCGGGAACAATTTTCGGATCATTGACTTCGTAGTCGTAGTCACGCGCCATTCATACATGGCGGACGTAGATCACCTTCGAGTTGCGCGTTCCATCACCCTTTTTCACGACGTGTTGCGCGCTCTCGTTAGTACGACAGCGTGCCTCCTCCTGTTGCTCCTTTACTGCTCACCGACGACGGCCTTTCGGCCAATATCGGGGCAGATTGTATCGAAGCTGCCTGCTACTCGCCGCGGATCATCCTCCGCGCGGATGGTTCCGCCTCGAGTGGCGCAATTTCTCGCTGCGCGGCGGCCGGAGAGAGCATCCGCGGGGGGACGCGGGTACAGCCGGTCGGCGAGTTCAGGGTTGGGCGTATCCTCCGCAGCCGCGCCGCAGGCTTCGGCGGCTGACACGGCGGCTCTCAGGGCGATCTTCACGGCCGCGCTGCTACCTATCCCGGCGAACAAGCCGAACGCGTGCACGTGGCCCGGCGTAGATTGCGCCGCGGCGAACGGCGGCGCTGTTCAGCAGATAAACCTCAGCGGCGACGTCGACATTTTCACGCCGCGCCCCCCCCCACGCACGCCTCGCCTTTGCAACCGTACCGCGCGCGTACCCGGCGGAAAGTTCCCCGCAACCCTCTCCGATTCTATCGGCCAGTTGACGGGTCTCATGGATCTCCGTCTGGCGAATCTCTGGCTTGCTGGCTCTTTCCCGCGATCGTTCTCCCGGCTTACACAAATGGAACACCTCGATCTTAGCGGTAACTGCTTCGCTGGTCCTCTTCCTGTCGCCTTTTTCCGCATGCCGCGGCTTTACGATGTGTCCGCCGCCCAAAATTTCTTCACCGGCGGGTTACCACAAGGTCCTGCTGCGTCGACCTCGATATGGAAACTGGATTTCGGGAATAATCGGCTGTCCGGGCCGATACCTGCTGCCCTCGCGACGCTGCCGAACCTTGAAAAGATATTAATGTACTCGAATCGTCTAACCGGGAATATCCCCCCTGCTCTGCTGAAAAAGGACTCGCTTGAGATCGTTTTTGACCGGAACCGGCTTTCAGGCGACCTGAGCGGGCAGCAAATAAAGTCGTATATTTTCCGCGTAAGCGGGAACAGGTTTTCTGGAAACTTCAACTCGATCCAGTTCAGCCAAGTGGCCTACATCGACGTTTCCGACAACTTGTTTTCGGGTTCATTCCCCAAGGTTTTGTGCGTTCCAGACAGCCGGGTAGCAACTGATTTTTCGCGTAATCGACTGACAGGAGCCGTTCCAGCAAACTGTTTTACTAGTCCCGAAGGTTTTCCTAATGACATCCGTTTAAGCCACAACAATTTCTCGGGCAGCTTGCAGCCGTTTTCAAACCTGCCCAAGTATACCACTGCGCTGGACCTCGGATTCAACAAGTTCACAGGGAGCATTCCCCAAAACCTCACCCGTCTCAGGCTTCAGTACTTGGACCTCAGGGGAAACTCTCTCACAGGTGAGCAGGCTGCAAACTGCAGATCAGTTTAGTCTACCGGAGCAATAAACCGTGAATTCAGACGTGTGTCCTTATGTTGGGACCAACCAACCGCTCAGAACCACTCAGTTGTTTCCTTCTGTTGAGTTTACTGTTCACTCCACTTCTCCACTCTTCTCATTCTGCTTCCCCTGCCCTGTCGCTCAGGCCCCATCAGTTAACTTCCTCCTACCTCCCCTTCCACGCACCCCCCAGGCCCCGTCCCCGCCTTCTGCTAGGGCGATCAAGCCCTCATCTTCCTCACTTACTCACTACTCTTTCTTCCTACCTTTCTGCCTCTCCCCTCACTTCTCCTCGTCCCTCGCCCCATAATTTCCTCAGGCCCCATCCCCGCCTTCTGCCAGGGCCAGCAAGCCCTCATTTTCCTCAACCTTGCATGTGCCTTCCATAACTCTGATTCCCACCCCTCCTGTCTCTTCTCTCTTTTCATCCCCCCACCCCTCAGGTCCCATCCCCACCTTCTGCCAGGGCCAGCAGGCCCTCACCTACCTTAACCTCGCCTCCAACGCCCTCTCCGGCCCGCCCACCCCGCTCTCCTCCCCCTCCTGCGCCGCCTCCCTCAAATATCTCAACCTTTCTTCCAACAGCCTCTCCGGCCCCATCCCCGCTACAGTCAGCTCCTTTACACACCTAAAGCGCCTGCACCTCTACAATAACGCTCTCACGGGATCAATCCCAGCTGGTGTGAGCAACATGAAACGGCTGCGGGGGCTTTGGTTGTCGAATAACAACCTGACAGGTTCCCTTCCCGCTGCTTGGCCGGCAAGGATACGGCAAGTGCTGCTAGCGGGAAATCAGCTGTCAGGGGCTGTTCCGGCTGCTCTGAGCAAGCTGAAGCGAGGTTCTTTCAAACCAGGGAATGACAACTTGTGTGGAACCCCACTGCCCTCTTGTGCGTAGGGCCATTTTCATACCAAGACACCGGCAGCGAGCAGTCTGTCAGGGGCTGCTCTGAGCAAGCTGAAGAGAAATTCGTTCAAACCAGGAAGCTTTAATTTGTGTGGGAACCCGCTGCCCGCTTGTGCTTAGAACATCCCTGCTTCTGCATTTAGTAACCTGTACTGATACAATATACATATACCACATCTCCATATGTGTATGTGTATTCCTAATAATATATAACCACCGTTTGACTTGTCATACCGGTACTCTAAGCAACCTGCAAAGAGGCTAGGGCAAGAGGAGGTTGAAGAACCACCCTTGATGCTTGCTTGCATCTATGCAGGACCCCTTTCAACCCCCCCCGGTCCTGCCCTTCCCCATGCCACTGCCTGTACCTGCTTTGTCGGGCCAAAAGCGCGCTTCATCGAGCAAAGCGTCTTCCTGGATTATAATTAATAAGACCAATCAGCAACAAATCCAGTCTTCATGCGGTCAAACTAGGTCAATTAATTGTTTCGAAGCTGGCCAATATCCTGAAGCAGCAACTGAGTTACCACTTGCCCCAGCACCTCCTCCCATACCCCCTGCGCTGCGTCCCACGCTGCTTCCCGCGCTGCTTCCCGCGCTGCTTCCCCTGCTGCTTCCCCTGCTGCTTTGTCCGCTGCTTGTGCATCCACTAGAGCACCTGTTGGCATTGCTGCGACCAATCCCCTTGCTCCTGCCACTGATGCTGCTGCTTCTCCCAACAAACCACCACTTGCAGCCTTGCCTGAGTGTGCTACTGCACCCACCTCACCACCACCTCACCAAAGCCCACCTCTCCTCTAATATATTGTTTCTGAAGCCCATCAACCCCTTCCCCTATAACCCCATCAATCTATTTACCAATCACCCTCTCTTCCCCAACCGCACCACCCTTCCCTTCTCCCCATCCCCCTTCACCTCGCTCCTCCTCCCACGCTCTCTGCTTTGGATTTGGGCTGCCTGAACCTCCATCCGGACCAGACGCCCAGGCCGAGCCTGCGCCGGACCTCCTGGCAGCCTCGAGCGGCAGCTCGAGGTTCAGGAGAACGCCGGAGCTGGCAGCTAGGCACGGCATGGTGCCCACAGCACAAGGCTCCAGTGGTTGCAGACTGGCCACTGAAGTGGAATGGGAATAAAGGGGGAAAGGGAGGAGGAAGGGGGAGAATGAGAAAGATAAGGGTGTGCCTTGTTCTTTTCTTGGCCTGTTGATCCCCCGTTGACTTTCTCTGACACCCCCCTTGACTCTGACCCCCCATTGACTTTCTGTAATATCCGATGACTTTCTCTGACCCCCTGTTGACTTTCTCTGATCCCCAGTTGACTTTCTCTGAACCCCCGTTGACTTTCACGGACCCCCCGTTGACTCTCTCTGACCCTCTCTTCACTCCCTCCCACCCACCATCCACACCCTTTCCTCTCACCGGAGTGACTGCCAATCGCAGCAATGGAAGCCACACCAGATGGCCCTTTCTGTCCTCCCTCCTGACCTTCCTCCTTCTCCCACCACCCTCCCTCCTGCACTGACTCTCTCTCCCTTCCTCTCTCACATCACAGCCTCCATCAACACCCCTCCATCAACACCCCTCCATCAACACCCCTCCATCAACACCCCTCCATCAACACCCCTCCATTCACACCCCTCCCACTCACCTGACTGACCGCCAGTCGCAGCACCGGCAGCTGCAGCAGGCGATTGTGGGCCAGGGCTGGGGAATGGACAGGAGGCAGGCAAGAAGATCGGGATGTCCACGGGTGGTACTTCCTGCCGTTACCACCTGCCGTTACCACCTGCCGTTACCTCCTGCCGTTACCTCCTGCCGTTAGCACCTGCCGTTACCACCTGCCGTTACCACCTGCCGTTACCACCTGCCGTTACCTCCTGCCGTTACCTCCTGCCGATACCTCCTGCCGTTACCACCTGCCGTTACCACCTGCCGTTACCTCCTGCCGTTACCACCTGCCGTTACCACCTGCCGTTACCACCTGCCGTTACCTCCTGTCGTTACCTCCTGCCGTTACCACCTGCCGTTACCTCCTGCCGTTACCACCTGCCGTTACCTCCTGCTGTTACCTCCTGCCGTTACCACCTGCCGTTACCACCTGCCGTTACCTCCTGCCGTTACCTCCTGCCGTTACCACCTGCCGTTACCACCTGCCGTTACCTCCTGCCGTTACCTCCTGCCGTTACCACCTGCCGTTACCACCTGCCGTTACCACCTGCCGTTACCACCTGCCGTTACAACCTGCCGTTACCTCCTGCCGTTACCACCTGCCGTTACCACCTGCCGTTACCTCCTGCCGTTACCTCCTGCCGTTACCACCTGCCGTTACCACCTGCCGTTACCTCCTGCCGTTACCTCCTGCCGTTACCACCTGCCGTTACCACCTGCCGTTACCACCTGCCGTTACCACCTGCCGTTACCTCCTGCCGTTACCTCCTGCCGTTACCTCCTGCCGTTACCTCCTGCCGTTACCACCTGCCGTTACCACCCGCCACGACCCGCCACGACCCTACGAACTAAGCCTCACAGTGCCTGACGTCCTTCAGCAGTCGTGTGGAATGCCCACGTGAGTCGCCACCCTCACCACCGACCTGCCCAGGGCTGGGTTGCGGTTGTCACAAACCTACACGTGGCAGGGAGCAAGGGTGGAAGAAGGGGGAGAAGGAAACAAAACAGGCCTACTTATTCAATCAATGAAGGAACAGGCGAATCAGGACCCCTTGTGACCCCTCATCACCCCGCATTACCACTCCAGAATACGAACCTACACATGGTAGGGCAGGGACCAGGATGGAAACAGAACAAGGGACAAGTGACGGCAGCGCATGACTGGCGGAGCACAAACCGCACAGAACCGCACGGAACTGTTCAGAAATCACATGACACGCAGCAGCCACCTAATCGTGGCGAACGTGGGTGGAATGTTGTGTGCATTGAGGCTGATTGAGGCGTGGTGTTAGGCTGGGATCAGGTTGTGGTTTGGTAGGAATTTTATTGAAACAAAGTGAAGAGAGGAATGACTTACCTCGTGATCTTTCACCGCCGCACGTGACTGGCTGGCTGGTAGTAGAGCACGAACCGCACAGAACCGCACAGAACCGCACAGAACCACGCAGAACCTCTCTCAACCGTGTGTGTTGGACCCAGAACTAACCGGCCTCATGATGTCTGCTGCATATGACTGGCGGAGCATGACTGGGGGGAGCGGGGGCACCACGTGGGGCGGCATGGGGGAGGGTGAGAGGGAGGGTGAGAGGGGGGGAGAGATTGGGGGAGTTGGGGGAAGGGGAGGCGGGAGGTGGGGAGCGGTGGTGAGGTGGGGAAGGGGAAAGGGGTGTACGCATGGATTGCTGTATGGGGGAGACTGACTGGCGGGGCACGAATGGGGGGAGCTGAGGAACCGCATGGGGCTGCCTGGAGGTGGGGGAGTGGGTAGAAGACGGGTGGAATTGAGGGAGGGGAGACGGAAAAGGAAAACTCCGATCCTGTCGCATTCCGAACCGAACCTACGTTGCCAAACCTGAGTTACGAGCCTGCATGCAAGAGCTTCGGATCCTGCAGCAGCAGAGCCTGCACGCCAAGTGAAATGATTCCACAGAGTTTTGAGTCGTCTCAAAGCCATGATCCCTTGCGCAAGGAATACTAAAAGGAAAAAACTCAACCGTTCTAGAGTGTAAAGCATCTCACTCAGCCACAGTGAAACGAGCCTTTGAGACACGCCTAACCCATCCACACCTAGCCCTTCCCCAGAATCTCCGTACCTCCACCCCCGAACCTACCAGAGGTCCGGGTCCTGCAGCTGAACGGCGAGGATGCCAGCTGTCACGTCCACAGAGGCCGGAACCCGGTCCCTGATCTGCCATGCTGCCAGCTGACCGTTTAAAACCCAATGGCGGAATGGACGGGAACGGATTAGGGTTTGCGGTTTCACATGGTACAAATATGAAATCGTGAATATGAGGAAATGAGGATACGACGGTTCGAGATTGACTCACCGTATTTCACCCCTCACAGGACGAGAGAGATTCATTTCGGGGATAGCGAATGTCTTCAAATCAGGGATAGCTGTGGCTTGGCTGATATGGTGCTACCGAAGCTGATCGACCCATCGAGCTCTCCCTCACCGCACCCAACTCCTCGCAGGACACTCACAAGGAACAGTAACGAATCACGATTTGAACCACAGCACGGATACGCTACGCTACACCTACTACCTACCCGGCGGTCGATCCTGAAGGAGATGGATTCGCGGGTCGCGGCGGGTTTCAGCAGGCTCGCCCTCACCGCCTCTTATTCCTCGTCCCATGAGACGCGATAATGAGTGAAAAAAAAACATAGCTACCCGGTCGATCCCGAAGGTAGATGGATTCGCGGGTCGCGGCGCCGGGGCCCAGCAGGCTCGCCCTCGCCGCCGCCCGCTCCTCCCAGAACGCTCATGGAGTGGCGCAGCGCTTGAAAGAATGTGTTAACTTGTAACGAACCGCGCTGTAAAGGATGGGATTTAACGAATGTTGCGATTGTGTCGAGCAGGTGTAGAAATCTCGATACTTGTACAGACTAGAACCGGCCTGGCAGAAGTCGAATCTTACTTAGTGGCACTAAGTTAGTAAGGCCTAGTAGGGCTAGCTGCTTCCTGACGTGCGAGCATAGGAGGGACCTCGGCGACTTAGGGGGAATATGTCAGAAGGAATTTGAGAATGGTAACAAGGCAACGTGGGATGCAGCTTCGGCTCAAGAACTGTGCTGCATCAGACTGTAGCGCTAATGCACCGCACTTGACCCTTCACAAAGCTCCTCACGCTCGAATCTCCCTCCACCCTGCTGAAATCCGTCAAATCTCGTTCCTCGCTCAAAATCCCCAAACCTTTCCCTGTCCAATCACCTTTCACTCCAACCAACCCAAACCAAACAAATCCAGACCAGACCACATCCAGCCCAAACCAGCACAAACCAAACCAGCCAAACAAAACAAGACCACATGAGCCCAAGTCGGCCCAGCACAACAAAACCCAACCAGTCCAACATAACCGAACCCAGCTCAACCAAACCAACCAACAAAGCCAGCCCAAACCAGCCCAACCAAACCAGCTCAACCCAAGCCAACCCAGCCCAACCCAAGCCAACCCAGCTCAACCCATAGCTGCAACTCAACCCCTCCCACTTCCGCCAGCCAGCCGTCCCTCGGTAGTGGTGCCTCTCTGGAAGGGCGAAAGCCTGCCAAGCCACGCCCAGCCCACACGTCGCTCGCAATGCCTTGGCATCCATTCCATCCCAATCATCCACTCTGCTGGGCGATGTTCGGCAGCCCACAGAAGACAGGGGGGGATGGGGCGAGGGATCCAAAAGAGATAGCCTCGCCCCTAGTCGGATGGGTCAACTAGGGGTCCACCTTACGTTGACCCCACGTCCGAAGTCCTGGCGCAAGCGGAGTATGAGGGGGGACGCGCGGGGTGAACAGTTCGAGATGGCGGATGGGATTGGAAGCAGCACCCCGTAGGAAAGGAAACTTCGCCCTCCCAAAGGGTCGCCGCAGGCCATAAAGGCGGTGTTCGCCAGCACATGCACACTTGGAAAAAAAAATACGGCATCGGAATGGCCACGGCATCGGGAAGCGGGGACGGAACCCTCCGAAGAGGTTTGGGCGAAATGCCACCCGTGAAATTTCCCGCCCCGAAATGGGAAACGTGACAACCGCATATGGAACCTGCCTCCCTACCTTCCCCCCAAATGGCCCAAACAGCCAATGACGTCGCCATCCCACTGCAATCCTCCGTGAAATGGTGGATTGCCGTGGGATGGCATGGGACTCTCGTTTGCCAGGGGAGGAAATTACTTGGTCATTTCCGAATGGCATGATGCCATCCGAAATTTGTGAAAAGTGAGGGCGTTCGCCAGGCACCAACGATTCCCTTTGGGTTGGACTGCATTAGAGGCTCGGCAGATTTTTTACGGGCTGACCAGCCTGACGGAGCTTAACGAACCCTAACTGACGGGATCAGGAAGCCGAGGCTGACCTTCCTGATTCCTTCGTTATCCCGTCGTTTTTGCTTTCAAAGGTGCTGGCGAACACCGCCAAAAAGAAAACAGGTATCGCTGGCGGTGTTCGCCAGCATTTTTGAAAACGAAAACGACGGGATCAGGAAGGTCAGTCACGCCTTCCTGATCCCGTCAGTTAGGGTTCGTTAAGCTCCGTCAGCCTGGTCAGCCCGTAAAATTCGTGCCGAAGCTAGGATGTCGTCCGACCCTAAAGCAATCTTTGGTGCCTGGCGAACGCCCTCATTTTTCTCAGTTTCCGGATGGAAACATGGCATTCGGAAATGGGGATGTGACTTCCTCCCCAGGCAAACGTCCCGTCTCATGCCATCCCGTGGCAGTCCACCATTTCACGTGGATTGCCGTGGGTTGGCGATGTAAACCCTTTGGGGGGAAGGTGGGGTGTGGGGTTCCATATGCGGTTCTGAAGTTTCCCATGTCGGGGCTGGAAAGTTCGCGGGTGGCATTTCGCCCAAACCTTATCGGAGGGTTCCGGCCCCGCTTCCTGATGCCGTTGCCAGTCCGATGCCTTCCATTTTCTTCCAATCTCAAAGGTGCTGGCGAACACCGCCACTGTTTGGGCAGGAATCATGTTAATTCATTAACATACATAATTGAGTTAAACTAAGATTATTATTGAGCTGATTTAAAAAGTGTGCGTGTTCATCATTATGATTTTGATGTCGTTGCGACAAGGTATTTTAGAGTGTGGGTTAAATGTTTAAATTAAATGCGTGGAGGGGGGAATCCAATTTTCATTCCCCGTGGCTGAAAAGACTCACGGAAATGCAATCTTCATTCCCTGACCACTAGGGCGGAGGTTTTCCGCCATGGGGGGGGATCTGGGGGAGAACGCGACGCGGGCACAAGCCTAGCGTGGGGTTCGCGTCGCGTTTTAGGCTCACGCTCGACAACTTTTCCATATTTTTTTTGTCTGACCGAGGTGTTTTGCCTGGTTCGTCAAGGTCGAACCTGGAGGCCCGGCGTTTTCATTCTCCATCCCATCCCCTCCCATCGAACCCCTGTGGTTGCCGAACATCGCCCTGCTACCGCCGTAGCAGCATCCATTCATTTCATTGCTGTTTTGGCCTCGCTTAGAGAACGCGCATCGCAATAGGTGCAATGACTAGCGTGGTATGTTATGTGGACGGCAGTCGGTGTGTCGTCCGCCGTGGAAACTGCCACGTAGGGGACTTATTGGGCGGATGCCGTGCAGTCAGCTCTTCCAAGAACTCACCGGTATCGCCCCTCATCTTATTCCCTCGAAATGGAAGCTCATCTCAGGTTTCACTCTGAGCTAGGTAGGTTTTGGTTCTCACTGTACAATTATTGGAAGCTACTAGAAATTGCTTGACTCATTTTTTAGAAATCGAGATATGGCGGACGTAGATCACCCTCGAGTCGCGCGGGCCGTCGCGGTTCTTCACGACGCGTTGCGCGCTCACGTTAGAACGACAGCGTGTCTCCTCTTGCTACTCCTTTACTGCTCACCGACGACGGCTTTCCAGCCCATATCGAGGCAGCTTGTATCGAAGCTGCCTGCTGCTCGCCGCGGACGAGGACTCTCCGCGCGGACAGTTCTGCCTCGCGCGGCGCAATATCTCGCTGCGCGGAGGGCGGAGAGAGAATTATTTTGGGATGGCGGCGGACCCTGCTCCAACAACTCAATGCGCTCAGAACCTGCCGCGTCCGACGCAGCGGTGGGCGGAACCAGCGGCGGCCGGTCCGCGAGTACAGGTTTGCGCGCATCCACACCCTCGCCGTTGGCTTCGGCGGCTGACACGGCAGCCCTCAGGGCGATCTTCACGGCCGCGCTGATACCTATCCCGGCGAACATGCCAGACGCGTGCACGTGGCCCGTCGTGTATTGCTGCACCGGCAGCGTTAAGCTGCTAGTCCTTTCGAAAAACGTCAACCCCCCACCCACGCCTCGCCTTTGCAACCGTACCGTGCGCGTACCCGGCGGAAATTTCCCCGCAACCCTATCCGATTCTATCGGCCAGTTGACGGGTCTCACCGATCTCCATCTCAAAGGGTCTCTGGCTTGCTGGCTCTTTCCCGCAATCGTTCTCCCGCCTTACAAAAATCAAGTTCCTCGAAATTAGCGGTAACTGCTTCGCTGGTCCTCTTCCTCTAGCCATATTTCGCATGCCGACTCTTAACAATGTGTACGCCGCCCAAAATTTCTTCTCCGGCGGGTTACCACGACGTCCTGCAGCGTACGCGGCGGCGAAGTCGCTATGGTCTCTGGATCTTGGGAAGAATAGGTTGTCCGGGCCGATCCCTGCTGCCTTCGCGACACTACCAGCCATGAATGGGATAATTTTGAGCTCGAATCGGCTATCCGGGAATATCCCCCGTGCTCTGCTGAAGAAACCGTCCAGCCTTGATTTAGGTGGGAAACAGCTTTCCGGCGACCTGAGCGGGCAGCAAATAATGTCCTCGTATTTTCGCGTAAGCGGGAACAGGCTGACCGGAAACTTCAACACGATCCGGTTCGATGGAGACCCGTCGGTCATTTACGTTTCGAACAATTTATTTTCGGGCTCGTTCCCGCGAATTGTGTGCCATCAGGAGGTAGAAACCGATTTTTCGCGCAATCGCCTGACAGGAGCCGTTCCAGCCAACTGTTTCAAGTCCGCAAGTTTTTTTGTTAGAAATATCTTTTTAAGCCACAACAATTTCTCGGGCAACTTGCAGCCGTTTGCGAACCTGCCCACGGACATCACTGCTCTGGACCTCGGATTCAACAAGTTCACAGGGAGCATTCCCCTAGGCCTCACCAGTTTACCCTGGCTTGAATACTTGCACCTCGAGGCAAACGCTCTGACAGGTGAGCTTGACTGGAAAAACGCTCATTGTTTTCTTCCATTCAGCTTTCTGTTGCCTCTTCTTATCCACTCTTATTCTTCTCTGCTTCCGCTGTCCCATCCCTCAGGCCCCATCAGTTAACTTCCTTCTATCCCTCCTCTCCACACCACACCCCTCAGGCCCCATCCCCGCCTTCTTCATCAATCTCGCCTCCAACGCCCTCTCCGGCCTGCCTTCCCCCCTGTCTCTCCCTCCTGATCCGTTTCTCCCCTCCCGCTCTCTCCCGATCCTGCACCCCTTGCTGCTAACACTTCTCTGCTTGGTTTAACAACCTAACAGGTTCCATTCCCGCGGTTTGGCCGGCAAGCGTACGGCAAGTGCTGCTGGCGGGGAATCGGCTGTCAGGGGCTGTTCCGGCTGCTCTGAGCAAGCTGAAACGAGACTCGTTCAAGCCAGGAAATCCCAAGCTTTGTAGGACCCCGCTGCCTGCCTGTGCATAAAACCTTTTTTTATAGAACCGACTGTTACAGCCTGTTGTTCCTGCTCTGAGCAAGCTGAAAAGAGGCTCGTTTAAACCAGGGGACCCCAACTTGAGTGGTTCCCCGCTGCCTGCTTGTTAATAGAACCAATTCGATGGGACACTGGTAGAGAGCCGAGAGTAATGGGCTGTTTCGGCTGCTTTGAGCAAATTGAAGCAAGAGGCTCGTTCAAATCAGGAAATCCCAACTTGTGTGGGAAATTGCTGCCTGCCTCTGCTTATTGTTATTTTGATTTGACACTGACAAAGAAGCCGACTGTCAGGGGCTGTTCTAGCAGCTGTGAGCAAGCTAGGCAAACAAGGGAACGGCAATTCGTGTGGAACCACACCCCGCTGCCTACCCGTGCAAATACTTGTTCAGAATTGAATTAGTTTGGTGTAGGTATGTACACTGATTACAGTATCACAGTAGCCTCAATCCACGGTAGTGTGCTGGCCGTTTAGGGAAGATGTCAGAAACAATGGCCACTGCTTGATTGCGTTGAAAGCATGTGCTTCGGGAATCGGGATGCATGGAAACCAACCGAAGTGAAACAACTTACCGTAATGAACACAATCTATGAAGGGGGTTCAATTCAATGGGGACTCAACGTGACCAGAGAAGTTTCATCGCAACAAGAATCTCATTATGCCCAGCACTGGATGAAAGGCTCCCACGTATTGGTGCTGCAGTGTAAACACACAATTCGATGTTTTATTTTTTCTAGTCGGCCAAAGACTTTCATAACTGACACCATGAAGTGAAGGTTTCACAAGCGCCGCACATTCTGGGTTTCTCCAAGAAAGAGGCACCCAAACACGTCGTTGAAAAAGCTTTTTGGTCGCAGCCACGCGGATTCATCTTCTGCTTCTCCATTGCCATCTGAGTCAGTGAATCTTGGGAAGATCCTCTTCATGTCGTAAGTCACAGCACGCGTGCAGTCAGGACAGTACGTTACCTGTACACCACCACATGAACACGTAACATATGCACATACGGTATGCAATTTATTTAAATATGGGAGAATAGAACCATGACCGAACCACACAATGTGGGCACGAGGATGGTCAATAGCAGGGAGTGAGGGGATAATTGCACGACTAACAGTTTGCAATACGCTCAATAAGAGATAGGCAGGAGGAAACATTTGCACGACTAACCTCCAAAAGCTTGGGTTGAAAGTGATCATCCAGCATCACATCCACACCGTAGATTGCTCGACAGGTGTCATCATCTGGATGCATCTCGGGATGAGCAGTAACAGCAGCAGCCAGGAGCTCCCGCAGCATTCTCTGCACTGATTGGTCGATGGAATGCCACGTCACTGTAGCGGCAGGCATGCAAGTAGGACAGATGATATCATGGCCAGGTGGGTGGGGAAAAGAAGTTGGGATAGAGAAAAGAAGTTGGGAAAGGAAAGCTGAGGTATGAAAGTTGGGTAAGGAAATGGGAGGATGGGAAGCGAGGAGAGGGTTGGGTGGGTTTTTAAGAGCAAAGGAAAAGGAGGGGGAGGATGCAAGCTCCTCACTAGCATGCATGCTTGTGTGTCAGGGGGCTATGTGCTAGTAGGTGGGCTGCAAAGGCACTGCATCCATCAAATGACCGTGTCGCATGTCACTCCCCATCCATACCATGCCATCACAATGCCACCCCCCATACATCTCATAACACCATTTTCCATCCATACCACGCCATCTCCCATGCATACCGTTTTGTTCTTGCTCAAATGCCTGTACAAACTCGTGGGTTGGCACGTGCTCGTACTTGTGACCACTGTAGTTCTGATGAGAGCAAGGGGATGGATAGAAAGGAGTGGAGGATGGAAAGGGTGATGGGAGGATGGAGAGAGGGAGACAGGGGAGAGGATGGCACGTCAACAAAAGCATGTGCTCATACTGGTGACCGCTGTGAATCTGACGAGAGAAAAAGAGGGGAGGTGGAAAAAGGGAGTGGAGGATGGAAAGTGGGAGGGGAGGATGCGTGCGTGCGTGCGTGCGTGCGCGTGTGTGTGTATGTGTGTATGTGTGTGTGCGCGTGCGTGTGCACGTGTGTGTGTGAAACGAGGAGTATGGTAAGTCACAAGTACCATAGTCACGTCTCATGCATGAATCAGTACCGCGACGACATTTCATGGTTCCATGGCACACCCCACCACACCACACCACACCACACCACACCACACCACACCACACCACACCACACCACACCACACCATACCATGACAGTGAAGTGTGTCTGGAAGTCCGACAGGGAGTCCTCTGCTTGAGAATACGGCTTGTTGGCGATGCGAGCCTGGTGGTGCAAGCAAAGAGGGGTGAGTCATTTGAAGCATGCAAGAGATGGGAGGCACCGGGCGAGAAGTGCAGCAGGAAACAGGCAGCAACAGGCAAGCATCATTCCACTCCACCCGACCCACTCACCCAGAACACGCCCGATAAATACGCCTCCAGCAGCAGTCAGTCAGGCCACTCACCCAGAACACGTCCGATAGATACGCCTCCATTGGTTTGAGTCTCTTGAGCAGCAGCAGAAAGCGCACGTCGAGCTGCCTCACACTCCTCCCAGCCAACCACTCACCCAGAACACGTCCGACAAATATGCCTCCAGGGGTCTCAGCCGCTTGAGCAGCAGGAGGCGCAGGTCGAACTTCCTCCCGTGGAAGAGCGCCGCAGCCAACCAAGCAGCAGGCAGCAAGCAAGCAGCATTGAACCCGACTCACTCACCCAGAATACATCGGAGAGGTAAGCCTCCAGTGGCTTGAGGCGCTTAAGCAGCAGCAGGAGGCGCAGGTCAAACTTCCTGCCGTGGAAGAGCGCGAGGCGGGAGATGTACTTCTGGGCCACCTTGGGGCCGCTCTCTGCCAGCCGTATGATCTGCGCCAGGTGGCGCGACACCGTTGCATCCATGCTGCGCGCGAGATTCCACAGCTTCATGATCCACATGTTGTCCAGACCGGGAACTGCAGTGGTATCATGCGGTGGTATGATGCGGTGGTATGATGCAGTGGTATCATGCAGTGGTATCATGCAGTGGTATCATGCAGTGGTATCATGCAGTGGTATCATGCAGTGGTATCGTGCAGTGGTATCATGCAGTGGTATCATGCAGTGGTATCATGCAGTGGTATCGTGCAGTGGTATCGTGCAGTGGTATCGTGCAGTGGTTTCGTGCAGTGGTTTCGTGCAGTGGTATCGTGCAGTGGTATCGTGCAGTGGTATCGTGCAGTGGTATCGTGCAGTGGTATCGTGCAGTGGTATCGTGCAGTGGTATCGTGCAATGGTATCGTGCAGTGGTATCGTGCAGTGGTATCGTGCAGTGGTATCGTGCAGTGGTATCATGCAGTGGTATCATGCAGTGGTATCATGCAGTGGTATCATGCAGTGGTATCATGCAGTGGTATCGTGGACTGGTATCGTGCAGTGGTATCGTGGAGTGGTATAAACTTGTAAAGAATCTGAAACTGCTCGCCGTGCTGCTATCAGGTTTGTGTGATGATGTGCATGTGCTAGTTGAAACTCCCCATTCGCTCTTCCTTCTCTTTCTGTCCCTTCGTCCCTTTCGTCCTAACCTGACCCCTCCTGCATTGCTCTTCCCTCTCAGCTTATGGCCCCGTCATCTCCGAATTCCCTCTGGAACTCTCTTTTGAGAATTCTCGAAAGCTTAAAAAAATAAGAATTCTCAAAGGCTTATAAAAAATGAGAATTTTCAAAAGCTTATAAAAAAAAGGGTATTCTCAAAAGCGACTCAGCGCTACAGCCCAGTGATTTCCACCATTCCCTCTGCTGCTCTCACCCCCCTCCTTTCCCCACTCGGTCTTTCTTTTGATTCAATCCGCCAACCCCCATCCAACCCCCATCCATCCCCCATCCAACCCCTTTTCGTTCTCTTCCCTCTCAGCGCTACGGCCCAGTCATTTCCGCCATTCCATTGCAACTCTCAAGATTTACATTCAACCTCATTCACGACTCGTGATTACTCAGCAGTTACTCAGCTGACTCAGCAACGAGTCATGGTGAATCATCAATGGCACATGGTACTGCCAATAGCCAATCAAATACTTGTTCAGAAATGAATTGGTGTATACTGATTACAGAATCACAGCAACCTCAATCCACGGTGTTCATGCAAGATATAAGAAAGAGTGCCCACTGCTTGATTGCGTTGAGAGCATGTGCTTAAGGATGCATGGAAACCAAAGTAGAAACAACTCAGGGAACAAAACTGTTAAAGGGGGTTCGTTGGGGATTCAATGTGATGTGACCATAGAAGTTTCAATTATATTTTTAGACGCAACAAGAATTTCATATCTTGCCACATTTTCTCGGGAGCCCCGCTCAGATCTCTTCACACTGCATACTGCGTCCCCCTAAGTAGCTGCCGGGTCAGGTTGATGCGTGACTGCGTCGTGCTCCTGTCGGTCACTCACCCACCTGACAGTCCTGTGGCACCACCGTCTCGGTCACCCTTCACTCGCACGACTCCGTCACATGTCTAGCCACGGTCTTGTATCAGGTCTCCCTCCATCGCCTACGTGGCCGTGCACTCCTTGCGTCGAGGGTAGGCTGCGCGCCACCCCTCACTCCTCCTCCATTGCGCCAGCCACCGCGCCCCTCCAGACTTTGCACCTCGGCGCCTGGGGCCCAACCCCCGTCACTGGGTCGGGGCAGGAGCGCTTCATCCTGGTGGTGGTTGAAGACTTCTCCCGTTACACAACGGTGTCCCCCCTGCGACAGAAGGCACCCGTGCCTGATGTCCTGGTCCCATGGTTCATTGCCACCAGTGCGCAACGTCGCCTCCTTCTGCTTTGTCTACACTCCGACTGTGGGGGTGAGTTTCGGTCCACCGTTCTTGCCGTGTTCAGTCCTAGACGCTTCTGGACTCACTACAGCATAATGGGGTTGATGAGCGCCGCATAGGGTTGGTTTTGGAGATCGCCCGCACTTCCATGGTCCATGCACGTGCGCCCCATTTTCTGTGGCCCTTCGCGGTTCGCTACGCCACACACCAGCTGAACCTCTAACCGCGTGTCTCGCCCCCAGCGGCTTCACCGACCTGCCTCTGGAATGGGCCCCTTGGTGTTGCATCTGCCTTTCGTGTCTGGGGCTGCCTTGCGCATGTCTGCGATCCTCGCGCGGACAAGCTCTCGGCTCGCACCCTCCCCTTTGTCTTCCTTCATTTCCCGGTTGATGCACCAGACTTCACGTTTTTCCAACCGCCTCTTCACCAGTTCTTCGACTCCCGCAACGTCACATTTGACAAGTCTGTGTCCTTCTTCGTCCGCTACCCCCACCAAGGTCTCCGGGTCCCCCCCCCCCCCACCCCTCTCCACTCTTCCTCGCTCCCACTCCTCCCCTTGGTCCTGCTCCACCGGTACTCCCACCCCACCCAGGTCCTGCCCTGTCAGGTGTGTCTCACGGTACCCCTCCTCCCTCGGTAGCAAGTTAGGGGTCGTCTCCTTCACCACAGCCCCCCACGGCTTCTTCACAGTCACCACAGCAGCCTTCGGTGCTACCACGGTAGGTCGAAGTGGACTCTGGGGGTGCTGCTAGTGGAGGTACTAGTGCCGGAGGTGCTCGTTCTGAGGAGCTCGTGTTGGGGGTGCTGGAGCTGGAGGGTCTGGCACTGGAGGTGCTGGTTTTGGGGGTGCTGGAGCTGGAGATGCTAGAGTCGGAGGTGCTGGTTCTGGGGGTGTTGGGGTTGGAGGTGCTGGAGCTGGAGGTGCTGGTTCTGGGGGTGTTGGAACTGGAGATGCTGGTGCTACGCCTCCTGCTCCTACTGGCCCTCGTTACCTGACAAGGTTTCAGCATTAGCGGCAGCAGGAGCAGCAGCAGCAGCATCAGCAGCAGCCACCGCAGCAGCCGCAGGCCCAGCAGCCGCAGACGCCACAGCATCCACTGCTGCAGTGGTCGTCGCCACCTGTGAGTGGTCTTCGGACCCTTGGTCTTCCTTCCTCTCCTCCTGACCGCTCACTGTCTCCTCCTGCTCACGGTCCTACGTTTCCTCCTCCAGACTCGTCTCCTGCTCGGTCTCCGCCTCGGTCACGGTCGCCTCCTCCTGTTGTTCAGTCCCTTTAGACCTCTCGTTGTTCCCCGGGCGCTCGTCGCTCGTCTCCTGTTCAGGACCTCCGGCCTGTCTTCCTTCGTCCTAGCCCTCCTTGTTCTCCGCCTTCGTCTGCCTCCGGTTTCCTCCTTCGTCAGCTCTCACTATCTCCTCATTGCCTCTCACTGACTACTACCGTACTGCTCGACTTGTTGTCTCGTGTGTTCTCTCCTCTCTTGTCATAGACCCTACTGCCTCTCCGTTGTCTGCCTCGGCTCTTGTTGCAGCTGTCACTGACTTTGCCACCACCCGGTGCCTTGACTACGCCACCCGCTTGGTGGTTGCTCCTCCTACCCATCTTCTGTCCGCAGGGGGTGAGTTTGCCCTTGGTTGTGACATCCTAGAGGACAAGAAGTTTGAGTTGGAGTTCCTTGCAGCCGCTTCTTCGATCTCTGTGCCATGCCGCTAGCCCCTGAGAAAGACCATGACGCACCAAACATCCCGACTCATCGTACTTACGCTGAGGAAGTGTCAAGACTGTGGGCCTCTCAGTGGATAGCAGCCATGTACGTAGAGGTGGCGACTTGAAGGTCTACATGCACGTACGTCGACGCCGTTCTTCTCCTCGAGTGAACGTAGTCGATGGCATGTGGATCTTCAAGGTGAAGCGGCTGCCTGGATCACCGCCTGTCTTCAAGGCGAGCTACATGGTTAGAGGCTTCTGTCAGCGTGAGGGAGTATACTTCTTTCAGACCTTCTTCCCCACCCTGAAGATGACCACCAGGCGTGGGGAAGCAAGGCCATTTGGCCTTAATGCCCTGAACATTCCGGGTTACTCTCAGGGTAGGTAGCAAGCTTAAAGTTTTAGATTTGCTAGTCACCCTGACGCGTCAAGGGTTTCGATCAGGCCTGGCCCGGACCTGTTACGTGCGTGTGAAGGGCCTTCCCCTGAATTCAAGTTCTGGTTCAGGGTTCGAAGGAGCCCCCCCCCCCCCCACCTTTCCCCTATACTCCCCTCCCCCCCCCCCCCCCCCCCAAAACCCATTTTCCGTCTTGGTTGAGTGAGCGCCAGATGGACGATATGGTATGCGTTTTGTAGCCAATCCTGGATGTGTGTAGTTGTTTAGTCAGCTTAGAAGCAGCCGCTTCTCACCTAGCAGCCTATCTCCTTAGGCGCGCTCGTCACAACAGTGACAGCATTTGTAGGAGTTAGTGTATCGGCCAATGTGAGTGAGCATCGAGGACTCCAACACAGCACAAGGCTGGACAGCAATGTCCAGCAGGGAGAGCAAAGCCAACCCTATCTCGCCTGGTTCTCTCAATCAATCCGACCAACCAGCTCATCCATCAAGCCAGCCGAGCAAACTTCACACACCCTCGATGGTGGGCTTTATTAGCAGGCTGGTTTCTCCTCTCATCTCAACTAGAATTGTTCAGCCATGGAGCCCAGTGACGATACTGCTTATGGTGATGACCGCCCGCTTTCCCCAGAGATTAGCTCCCACACGGAGACCGAGTTGGTATGCCAAGACTCTGATGACGACGAAACTGACAACGATCAAATGCTTGACGTGCCCATCTCTGTCTCGCACACCCTGCAGAGCGGAGGGTCCCCATCGTCCAGGACTCGTGGCCGATTTCGGCAGGCAAAACTGGGCTTCGCGGACCCACCGTCCTCCTCGAAAAAACGTCAGCGACGAGTCCACCGATCGGGCACGCGGCAAACACCTGATCATCTACATCACGTTCGAGAGGAATGAGGAGGTTGTCAATCAGTTTTTCAGGCACCTGACCCTCGAGAAATGTGATGCCGTGTCCATTTACAATGCGATAGTCTCGTTCCTTCACGGCAAGGAGTTGTCTTGGGACATGCTTGTTGGCGTGTCAACAGACGGGGCTTCTG